CTCATTAATTGCTCTTTGCCAAGACAAATAGGCATTTTTTATGCACATTGAGAAGTGTTTGTCTAAATTTTCCCACCAATGAGATGTTTATTCTAAAATTACTTAATGATGATGCCTTTAGGCAAAGATCAGATAGTCCGTACATTTTCAATATATATACGTATACTTGAAACTAAAATATCTTATTTTAAGAAACAATATAAATAAAAGCATGTCATTTCATAGCATAAATATATATTTTCTCAAAAAACATATCGATCTGTCTTTACGTTAGACCATCTCACATAAGAACGTGGAAATTACTTAAATTCATATAATTATCAATTTTAAGGACAAGCTAAAGATTTTGATAATTATAATTAATGCCATACTTCAGTTTGTGATTATCCCTATTTAAAACCAATCCTATCTTTAAGACAACATTTGCAAACCCTACTCTACTTTCACACACTATTTATCATCTACCTCAAGAACTCTAACATGAATGTGCTAAAATCTTGGTTGCCAACGAACCAACAACTTAGCCGGAGCTCGGCCAACTGCCGCCCAACCGGAAACCACCATGTTGCCGGTGATCGGAATCCTCAGCCACCCAGGAGATGGGGCCGCCGGCCGGTTGACGAATGACACGAGGGCTTCGTACATTGCCGCCTCTTACGTGAAGTTTGTCAAGTCTGGTGGGGCTAGGGTTATTCCTCTCATATACAATGAAAAGCCTCAAATTCTTAACAAAGTACGTGTAACTCATGTTTATGTAACTTGATTGCTTGATTGAATGATATTGTTGTTTGCTAAGGTTTACAAGTTTATTTTTGTTGGAAATTAATAATTTTTTTTTTTTTGAAAAATTATTTTGAATGCAAAAGTTAAATTAAAAAACGACTTAAGGGTAGACTGAGAATGAGGTTGCACGTATATATGATTTAAAATGCACTTTAATTTCATTGGATACTTTTTTCTTATAGTATATTGTTCGCTTATCTCACACTTTCACCTCAATTTTATTAATACAATATTTGTAGCAACAATTAATTATTACTACACAATTTACTGTAAAATGTACTATTAATATTGTTACATTTTGTCATTTTATATTATATATTTTCCCGTATACATTTTCTTCCCCAAAGTTCATTTTCTCTATTCCATCAAAATCATGTCCAATTCACCATAAACCTTCGAAAAGTCAAATGTATACACTCTATAGAAGTCTATTTCTTAAATGTGCCACCTTATCGTCACAAATCTATCGTTTTTATGAAAAAAATTAGAGCATGTTTGTTTATAAAATTTTTTAAAAAAATTTCAACATTTTAATTCAAGCATTTTTCTTAACTCAACCCTACAATCATCAATATTATTAATATACTTAAATAATATCAATCAATCATTCATACACACCACATCAACCATAATTCACTATTCATTCACTCACATTATTTTAGCTAATCATCACATCAAATCATCTCCCGCTACTTTTACATTAAATCAATTTTAATATTTTATTTTAAATATTTTTAAATATACCCACTAATAACTAACCATACAACCTTTTTCAAAATTAACCAAACCAAATCAAAAAATCCAAACAAAATCAAAAATTTCTATAAACAAACATGCTCTTTAGATTTTTGGTTCAGTGACGACTGCGGATTTGACATTTAATCCTATAATAATCCATGTAGATTTGTATGTTTTTTTATTTTATTTTTTTCTTTTTGGTGTTGTAGAAACTGAACATTGTTAATGGAGTGATCTTGACCGGAGGTTCGTGCAAAAGTGGTTCGTACTATGAGGTTGTCGAGTCCATATTTAAGTTATTATAGCAACAAAATTATAAATGTGTTCGTATAAGAGACATATAAAATTTGCCCGAATGTTTGACGAAAATATATTTGGTGCAGTATGTTATTAAGAAAAATGAGGCGGGAAGCCATTTCCCTTTGATTGCTATCTGCTTAGGTTTTGAGCTACTCGCCATGATTGTTAGCAAGGTAAGGTGTCTAAAAACTTTGCTATTACTTTACCGCGTGTTGTTACACATTTTTATCGAAACATGTTCATACTATAATATTGAAATGTCATACTATAAACATATATATGTGTGATATGACACATTGTAAGTACACACTTTTGTTATCGACTAATCTAATCGTTAAACTATTCAACTGGTCGCGAAGGTTTACAACAAACAATTGATGGCTTCACTTTTACTTTGCAATATTCTACCTAGTTTCATTCATAGCTTAACTAATTAACTTCCACTTGTTTGACAAAGTGCAATATATCGTTTTGATAACAGCAAAAAAAACATCCTTGAGAAATTTGACGCAAGGCATGATGCATCTACATTGCACTTCGTGAAGCGTAGACATAAATGGCACTGCATTTGAAAGGTAAGCTATCGATATTTAATCAAACATATATCATGGTGATTATTAACTAATATCACATTGTCTAAT